AATAAATAAACCTTTATTATTTGATAATTGCTTTTTTCTCTCATTTCTCACTTTGTTAATGTCTTATTCTATTTCTTATATTTATGGATTGTTTTTACTTTTCTAGTCATTTTCATTAGATATGATTTTGCCTTGCTTTAATTTATACGTGTTTCTACATTTTAGAGAATTTGTATATAGTGGAAATGTATATGTAGTTTGTATTGGAAAGGTGGTCAAGAGAATGTAAAACTTGTAAAAAATATTTAAATTGAATAAACTTTAAATTTTTAATTAAATTAAAACTACCCTATCTTTCTTGTCATATGGTTCAAGAAGAATTTATATTGTAATTATACATACATTGTACTTGTGCTGAGGGAAGGAGGGAGAGAGTATAATTATATTGTATAAGCAATGTGACTGATTTAGATAATTGCATTTGTCTTTTAGTTTCCATGCTATATTAGTGCATATCATATTTTATAACAGATTCAGGAAGTAATTTAAAATATAGTTCTCTCATCCATGATGTCATGCCAAAAAACATGTAATACAATTAAGAATTTTTTAAAAATCTAATGTGTGATGGAAAAATAGCAACAGTTATCTTTGATACTAAATAATTGATGGATAGATAATAACAGTAGCATTATAATGAGGCCTTACAGTGTTCTAGACAGGATTTGAGGTGTTTCATATGCAATTATTTAAATTTAGTTTTACAAGATAAATCTTTTTTAGGTACTAGTAACATAAATTTTAGTTTCACATAGTTACTTGTCATGCTTTGACGTTCAAGGAAAGTCTAAATAATTTTTTATTTTCTTACAATTTGTATAGTATATATTCACAGTACATATGATAACATTTATCACGAGGACTTGGTACATGTACACAGCACATCGTTATTCTTTTAATGTCTCCTTCCCTTTTGCTCCCTCCTATCTGGCTCCATCTCTTGATTCCCTTTCCATTTGCAAAAGATCTGTCTCGCCATTTCCTATTAGCATTTATTGTTCTCTTTAAATGATTTATACTTTGGTTTCGCATATAAAAGAAACTACTTAAGCTTGTATGTGATTACTCAACATTACTATTTCAAAGTGCATCTGACATTTTATACCCATTCCACAAGCATAAGATGCTTTTAAATGTGGAATAGATTGAGTGAAATTCAAACATTTTGCTACCATTCTGGCTTAAGGAAATATCACTTCAATCGTACAATTATTGATGTACCTTCCTGGAGTCAAGGAAATATAGATGAATCATAGATTTAATAGTAGGCACTAATGTGCAGTGTTTAGCAGAGCAAAACCATTAACCAACAGACTGCATATTTTTTTCATGAGTTCTACTCATCACTCAAACAACAGAAACCAAAATTTTGCTGAGGTTATGCTGATTGACAATAATGCCTCCTTTCATCTGCGCATGCATCTCTTCTTATTCTATCTTCCATGATGACTTTGTCTTCTAATTTGTATTTTTATCCATACCCAGTTGAAGTACATAATGATTACATTCACTATGGAGTGTTGTTACATGTACATAACACATATTTTTTTCATTTTGCATCCCCTACACACCTCCCCTCCATCTCTGAGTCACCTTCCCAGTTACAAAATATTTTTCTCCCAGGACCATTTGCAGAATTTCAGCAGAACTCAAAATCAACTTTGAATGTATTATTTTATATTATATACTTTAGCCATTTAACATATGGTATAAAACCCTTTAGTCCTTGCATACTATATAAGTGAATTTACAAAAGATTTAACTCTTTACTTTTATCCATCTTTTACTTTGCTTTTTAATTGATTTATACTTTGGTTACGCATAAAAGAAAAACTATGTAATATTTAAACTTTGTATCTTGTTTATTGTACTTAATGTCATTGTCAGTGAAGGACCCTTGTTAGCAAGACAGACTCCATATTGCTACTTGATCCACCTGCCTGCCCTTTAGATGAACTCTAAAGGAGGAAGCTTAGAAACCTCCTCCCCTTAGAGAGTCTCTTAGAAACAACAATTAATCAACTATTGTTTTACAAATGTTCTAACAGAAGGATGTTCCACTTCTGTACCTTATGCTTGCTTTGCTAGTTCTATCCCATAGGCGGGCCTAGAAACTGTTGGCCTCAAAGGTGTATAAAACGTGTTTGTCAACCCCCAGTCCAGGCTCCAGTCCGATGCTCAGCTCGGGTCCCGGCCAGTAATAAACTCCTGTGTGGATTTAATATTGGTCTCTGGTTGGTTCTCTCTAGCTGGGTACAACAGTCAGAGGTGAATTCTTTTTCCTACAAATGACCCAAATCTATCCTTCTTTATGGAAAAGAAATATCATTGTGTATAAATGCTAGGTTTGCTTTTTCAACTCATCCAATGATGAACACGTATGCCACTTCCAAGGTGTATCTGGTCTTCAGAGAAATGCAAATTAAAGCCACAGTCAGCTCTGTGATAAAAGCAGTGTGGAATTGGCAAAGAAACAGACCAGAGGATCAGTGGAAAACAACTGCAGGCTTACTCAGTCACCTCATCTTTGACAAAGGAGCCAACCACCCTCACTGGAGGAAAGATAGCCTATTTAATAAATGGTGTTGGAAAAACTGGATTTCAATCTGCCAAAGATTAAAACCAGACCTATATCACCATGTACTAAACTAAAATTGAGGTGGATTAAAGATCTAAATATTAAAACAGAAACACTAAACTTGCTGGAAGGTAAGTTAGGTAGAACTCTTGAAGACACCGACATAGGAAAAGACTTTATGAACAAAACCTCAGAAGCACGGGAATTAGCACAAAGAATCAACAACTGGAATCTCATCTTATCAAAAAGCTTCTGCACTGCAAGAGAAACCACCAACAGAGCTAAGAGACAACCTACAATATGGAAAAAAAAATTTTATCAGCTGTTGCTCAGACAAAGGACTACTATCTAGAATATATAAAGAGCTTAAAAAAATCAGACCCCCAAATTTAACAACCCAATTGAAAAATGGGCATCTGAAATGAACAGACATTTCTCAGACAAAGAAGTAAAAGCAGCAAATAAACATATGAAAAAATGTTCAACAT